TCCTGAACTCCACCATCTCATGGTCATGGCAGCCAAGGCTGCCTTTGACATTCATATCCCCAATAAGCCTCTCCTTGGTGAGTATGAAGTCCAGCAGAACCCCTCTCCCCATCAACTCCTTTGTCACTTGGGTCATGAAGCTGTCATCTATGCAGCCCAGGAACCTCCTGGATTGCTTATGCCCTTCTGTGTTGACCCTCCAACAGATGTCAGGGTAGTTGAAGTCCCCCATGAGTACCAGGGTCTGTGAATGTGAGGGTGCTTCTACCTGTGTGTATGTGTGTCTAGATCATAGCCTTGCAACTGCACAATGATTTCTAACTCATTGTGTTCCCCATGCTGCATGATTTAGTGAATATGCACTTCAGAGAGGCACCTCAGCATGCTGATTTTCCAGAAAGGGTTTTGGGGATTTCTCCATAATGGTGCCCTGCAAGCACTTCCTTGCTTACATGCAAGATATTTGGGCGTGGCAGCCTACAGTGATTTTTGTAAACTTTCAGTTAAAAGAAGTGAAAACATCTAACTGGTATAAACTTTGTGCAATGTTTTTGTCTTCCTTCTTGTTCTTTATTGCTTCTGATTTATTGAAAGGCCAGTTATGTATATATTTGCTTTTTGCCTATCTGTATGTTTTCACATAATCTTTTTCCCTCTGCAATCTAAGTTTATAATCTTTTTATATGTTTTATGTTGTGTAAAGTATCTGCATTTAGCCTGTGAAGTTATCTTTATTCTTTTTGGGAGAAGAAATGTTTATAATGGACCCATCAAATAAATAATTAATTGGTGTAATGCCTTAAGAAGAATGTGCAGCAGCTCTATTGTTGAATTCTGGAACATGTGCCTACTTTGATGTTTTTGTTACTCCCGTTTTGAATGTAAAAGGGGAAAAAACAGCTTTGCTTCTGATGACAGACTTGTGTGATTGATGCAATTCAGATTAGCTAAATCTGCCTTGTTCAGTGAAATTTATATAGTTTGACAGGATCTTGATTAGGAAGCAATCATTTCTTTTGATAATAAACAATTGGTCACTTTCAGCAGATAGGAATGCTGCCCTTTGTCTTGCATGGTTTGATCTGTTGGTTCAAGTCCTAGTTAAATTCAAAAGTGAAGTGTGAGTGGAATGGGAGAGAGTATAGTAGCAGGAGTAGGAGTAGATGTTTATGGTTGACTCCAAAGTCCTCATCCAATTGGGTTTTTATTGTCTTGGGTGGCATTTAAATAAAAAAAAAAAAAGAGAAAGAGTCATTTTGTGTTCTGAAGTACTTGCAATATAAAGGACTGCAAAAGCAAGCTTTTGTTCCAAGACATATAGATTAGAATACATGTGCTCCCCTATCCCCACCGCTTTGTCTCTGTAAGACAAAGCAAAATTTATTAGCATATCATAGAGTACTGGCTGGTGGAGAAAGACAGCAGTGGACATGAACATCAGCCTCATGAGTGAAACTGGAATTTAATAAATCATAGAATCAGAGATTATCCTGAGTTGGAAGGGACCCGCGAGGATCATCAAGTCCAACTCCTGACTCCACCCAGGGCAACCGAAACGTTAATATCTAGGAGCATTGTCCAAATGCTTCTTGAACATGGCTTGGGACCATGACCACTTCCCTGAGGAGCTTGTTCCAGTGCTTGACCACCCTTTCAGTAAAGAACTTTTTCCTAATATCCAATCTGAATGTCCCCTGACACAGCTTTAAGCCATTCCTTCACGTCCTATCGCTGGACACCAGAGAGATCAGCCCCTCCCTCTCTGTTCCCTCTCACGAGGAAGTTGTAGACAGCAATGAGGTCACCCCTCAGTCTCCTCTTCTCTGAGCTGAATAAACCTACTATCCTCAGCCCCTCCTCATAAGTCATGCCCTCTAGTCCTTTCACCATCTTTGTTGCCCTCCTTTGGATTTTTTATCCTTCTTATATGGGGGCGCCAAAAACTGCCCACAGTACTCAAGGTGAAGCCACACCAATGCTGAGCATAGTGGGACAATCACTTCTTTCAACGCAGCAGCAGTACAACAAATCTGATATATGTGTTTGCAAAGTAACTTTCACAGAAACACAGAATGGTCAGGGTTGGAACGGACCTCTGGAAATCTAGTCCAACCGCCCTGCCAGAGCAGAGTTGCACAGGACGGCGACCAGGCTGGTTTTGAATGTCTCCAGAGTGGGAGACTCCACAACCTCTCTGGGCAGCCTGTTCCAGTGCTCTGCCACCCTCAAAGGAAAGAAGTCCCTCCTCATGTTTAGATGGAACTTCCTATGTTCAAGTTTGTGCCCATTACCTCTTGTCCTATCACTGGGCACCACT